GGTGTGATAAGTTCCGAGCCTTGTGCATTTGTGGGACCCGTCTCACGAGTGCACGGCGTCTGTCGCGTCTCGAAATTGGGTTTTGGGGCGTGACAGATTTAGTGGTATCAGAGCTTAGGTTGAAATTAAGAGCTTAGGTTTAAATTAAGAGTTTTGGATTAAATTAAGCACCTCCAGATTGAGTGGCATTAGAGCAGATTGAGTGATATTGAGCCTAGGTTTAATTGAATACCTAGGATTTGTTTTGGACTTGGCTAGCCAGTGGATTTTAGACCCGTGGTGAGATGAGTGATGGGTTTATATAAGGGATAATTCTGATTCATGTTGCCTGAATTTTCTCATCCATTTCGATGAGATGGTGATCTGATTGTTCTTGTTTCTTGCCTTCATACTCTGTGTGAAGTTGTGAAAGTGATCTTGCCCGTTATGTCCTGAAGACCTTGTTCCGAAACTTGGTCATTTTCTGATAGTCCGCACTTGTTTAGGCTTGTTACGTGAATAGAATTTTTGTATGCTCTTTTGCCACAATTAGAAACTCTGGGGAGTTGTAGAGATCTTTTTGTTATTGATCTTGTTAGTCTCTGCAGCATAGCTGGTGGAGAATTTGCTCTGTTTGTCATGACTAGTGGAAGGTGGGCAACCCTCGAGTTTGTAAGAGATTCCAGGCTATTTTAGCAAATGATATGTGTTTTCTAGCTGCGTTTTAGGAGCTGGATAACTTGGTAATTCCGTTGCTCATTATCTTTCTGAAAGTCTTATAGTGAAGTTTCACTTTTCCATTTGGAGCTTCATGGTCTTTTCATGTGGCTCATTTTTCTATATTGGTTAATCAAGAGCAGTGATCATTCAATTGAAATTGTTGTCTTTTTGTGAAGATTGGCAAGCTATCATAAAGTTAAACTCTCTATTGTTGCCAATCTCTACATTCTTGATATCTGAAAATTGCTTGAAACTCTTGAAATCCATCTTGAATCTTTCTTGAGATTGCTTTGTATTTGTTCTTGAAACTGAAATCCAGAAATGGATAATGATTATTGAAATCTTCAGTATCTTGATATTCGTTTGAAATTAATTCTTGCATTGTTCTTGGAATCTAGTTTGAGTTGTCCTTGAAAACCATTCTTGTTCTGACACTAATTCTTGTCTCTTGTAAGTGTTAATCTCTGTATCCTGGATGTCTTAGCTTTGACTTGACTCTAGGATGACCTGATTGAAAATCTGCTTAGCCTCGCCTCCATGAGCTACGAGGTGAAGGGGTAGTCCTTGAAATACTTGATGCCTTAGAGTTTTGTTCCAAGTGAAATGGTTCTTGATCTGGCTGCTTGGATTTTTGTTTGCCCTTTTAATTGGAAGACAGTAATCTTCTAAGCATCTTGATCCCAGCCATTGCTTTGTTCTGTTAATTAATTCTAGTACTTGAGGTGCTAGATCTTGATCTCCTGATTGTATTTGCTCTTGAATCCGTGTTCTGTTTGTCATTATTGAAATCTCTTTTGTGAGCCTAATTTTTGGAATTCTATTGTTTGTTTCATGGTTAACTCTTGTTTCTCAATTTTGACTGCTTGGTTAAATTTGACCTTGATTCTTGGTGAATGCCGTTTTGTTGTTGAATTTTTGAGGCATTCTACCTTGCACTCTTATGTTCCAGTATTCTTCCAAGCAGTCATATTCTCCATTGATTTTATTCTGTTGCAATTCTTGAGATTCTTACATGTCTTTTGATGGTTCTAGCTTTTAACTCTTGTTAATTGCTAAAATCTGTCTCTTGATCCCAGTTGTTTTGTTAAACATGATCTTGCTTATTGGTTAACCTTGTTTTGTGGCAGAATTTATAAGGCATTCATGCACTTGTTCATTCATTCATGGTCCATATATCCATTGGATGCTTATCCGTCTTTGATAGAGTTCAAAGTTGTTGTATTCGTCTGTAAATCCATGCCATTCTTTGTCAATTCGTCTTGTGATGGGTTCGTAGCGTAACCCCACAATTGTTCTTTTGTGGCTTTGGCAGGATTTATTTTTATTCGTTGTGCTTCCCATGTCACCCCAGCCTCTAGTAGCTCATTTCATGGTAAATCCTATTAAGTAGTTAATGTTCTGCTTTTAGGATTAGTTGTGATTTGATAGCAGAGTGGCGCAGCG